TTTGCCCTCGGTCGCTGAGAGACACACATGTATAGCCCATAGTCTGCAGAGGCGTGTGTCCCCTCCATAGCCCCTGGTCATTCATTCTTTCTCTCTCTCTCTCTCTCTCTCTCTCTCTCTCTCTCTCTCTCTCTCTCTCTCTCTCTCTCTCAGCATTCTGCCCCTGGATCTCCCTTCCTACCAGCTCCAGGCTGCACATGCACCCTCTTTTCTAGGCTGTCCCCTGATTTACTAGACTAGGGCGTTTGCTGTCTGAACTACAATTGTGGTACTGTTTCTGGTGAGAATGGGGGGCGGGACTCTCCAGAGGTGATTAAAAACTGCCCAGGAAATGACCTGTGCCCCTGGTGTCAGCTGTGACAAGGGGCTTTTTCTCTTTTGGTTGCTTGTCCTTTTAAGCTTTTCTCCTTGGTGCCCCCTCTCCACTGCCTCCCTTCCCCTCCCAAGGCCCTTTCCCCTCATTCTGTGAACATCTTTTCATCTCTGAGACCCAGTTCAAATAGAACTTCCTCTGGAGCTGGGGATGTTGGTAGAATGCTTGTCCAGCATCACCTAGCATGCACAAGGCACTAGGTATTACCTCCAGCATTTGCTAAACTGAGCATGGTGACACATGCTGAAACACCAGTACTCAAGAGGGAGAGGCAAGAGGATCAGGAGTTCAAGGTCATCCTCAGCTACATAGGGATTTAAAAAAATTTTTTTAATTTATTTTTATTTTCTGTATATGAGTGTTTTGCCTGCATGTATTTAAGTGCACTCATGTCATACAGTACCCACAGAGGCCAGAAGAGGGCATCAGATCCCCTGGAACTGGAGTTATGAATGACTGTTAGTCACCATGTGGATGGGTGCTGAGAATCAAACCCAGGTCCTCTGTAAGAGCAACTACTGCTCTTAACTGCCAGCCCATCTCTGCAGCCCAGTCACATAGAGATTTTGACTAGGAATACATGAGACCCTGTCTCAGAGACAAAAGAGGGATGGAGAGAGGGCTTAGTGGTTACAAGTGTCTCCTGTCTTGCAGAGGGCCCCAGTTCAGTTCCCAACACCCTTGTAAGGCAGCTCACATTCTATAACTCCAGCTCCGGGGGATCCAATGCCCTCTTCTGACTTCCATAGGCACCCCCACACACGTGACATATACTCACACAGACACACATACATATACATAAAAATTAAAATTTAAGAACACTAGCTGGGTGTGGTGGCACACACCATTAATCCCAGCACTCAAGAGGCAGAGGCAACTGGATCTCTGTGACATCAAGGCCAGCCTGGTCTGTATTGCAAGTTCAGGTTAACTGAGGCTACAGAGAGTGACTTCTCTGGGTGCCAAAGCCATTATTACAGTCTTCAAAGTGTTTCTGTCTCCTTTGTTCTTTTTTTAAAATTTAATTTGTCTGTGTCCCTTATACCTTGAGCTCTTTGGGGTCAGGAAACAGGTCTCATTTTTGTTTGTAAAACTCCCTGCCCAGTCCAGTGCCTGGCACCCAGTTGGTGCCGAGTGCTCCTTCTGGAGTGCATGCTTCTGAGAACCTCTCAGAGCCTGACTTTAATAGGGGGCTGTGCAGAGGGCTCAGGGAGCAGGGTTTTGCCTTTTGTGTCCCCAGAGTTTGCACAGTATCTAGCTCAAAGTGAGCAGCTGGTGTCTGTCCAGTGAATGAATGGATAGAGTTCCACTAGAAAATTGTTCATGGAGGAGGTAGGTCTGGGGACATCTTGGAAGAAAAACAAAGGAAAGGCTTTCAAGGTCAGAGAGAAATTAATCAGAAAGAAAGAAAATTGGCCACAGCACAGCAAAGTCATCCAGAGGAGGAAGGAGCTGGGCAGGTGGAGTCAGAGGCCTTGGAGCTGGACACTGGGAGTGTGTATGTGTGTGTAGACACAGGAGCTCCAACACACAGTAGGTCCTTTGAGGAACTGAGCATCAGGAAGTAGCCAACATCCCTAGGGACAGTGGGAACCTCACAAGCCACACACATACAGACATGTGACCTTTAGCAAGTGGCATGTAGCCCAGGACCTGAGGAGTGGGAAGAGGGGCCGGGAAACTCCTGGAGGCCTGGGAAACTCTGAGCCCCACAACACGGTGAGATAGAGGCCCAGCCTGAGCTATCAGGGTGGGAAGTGGAACACAGCCCTTGAACTATCCATTTTTGAGCCATCCTTAAGTCTGGCAAACATGTCCAGCCCACACAGGAGGAAGTGGAAAGTCAGCTCCTAATGAATGAAGCCTTTCAAGCTTAGTCCGTTTCCTGCCTTTCTCCTAAGCAAGGTCATCTGGGACCTGAAACTCATGGCAGGCCTCCGTCCCACCAACCAGGCAGGGGAGTCAAGGCCATGTGCTGACTGGTGGGAAGCCAACCATCCTGTTAGGTGGGCATGTGCTGCCATCCCAGGGACAAATCTGTAAACCCATCTGCAGAGGGGTGATATGGTACACGCTTTTGATCACAGTCAGCTAGATTAGAGGAACCTCTAGTCTTGCCAGCTCTGCCTGTGTGCACGCAGTCCTGGGGAAGCGCTTCTTTCTCACTGACAGTAATTTCCACAGCATGCTTACACAGCGGGGAGCACTGAGCCCCCCCTCCCAAGGACTCACCCATTTGGGACACATTCCAACTCTATTTCTTGTCATTCTAGAAAATTCAACAGCTAGTGTGAGCGAGGCAGAAAGGAAAGCTCAAGTATACTACCGAGCGTGTATGAACGAAACCAGGATTGAGGAGCTCCGGGCCAAGCCGCTGATAGAGCTGATTGAGAAGGTAGGTGGGCAGACTTTCACAGCCTCCTCCTGTGCTCACCCCTCCTGCCAGCCCTTCTGGCTTCAGCTAACTCACACCTCCAGCCACCATGCCCAGCTGAAGGAGCCTATCTGACTGCTAGGAGTGTTGGGGTTGCCTGAGCGTGTGTGTGCATGGCTCCATGTGGTGGGACTGTCTGTATGGATGGTGTGTGTGTGTATATGTGTGTAAAGGAGTGGTGTGGTTGCTTTAGAAGCACCCACAGACTCTTGAGTCAGAAACAGACCTCTGCAGGAAGAGGACCCCACTGATAACTCCTGAGCAACTGAATCAGTGCTGTTTTGTTGTTTTTTTTGTTTTTGAGATCGGGTCTCACATAGCCTAGGGTAGCCTCAAGCTCACTATGCAACCAAGGATGGCCTTGGACTTCTGATCCCTTTGCCTCTACCTCTCTAGTTCTGAGATCACAGGTGTACACCACCACACCTGGCTTTATGTAGTGCTGGAGACTGAACCCAGGACGTCATGCATACGAGGCAAGCACACAAAACTAAGCTACATCTCTAGTTCCCCCCAAACCGGTTCTTCTTCCTGGGCACGTTTACGTCCTGGGTGGCCTTCAAAGAGGACTGCCTGAGGCTGGCCAGGCTGCCTGATGCAGACAGAGGTGGCTGGGAATGTTTTCAGGCCACCCATGTTCCCTCCAGGGCTCTGCCTCTCAGCTTAGGGTGTACAGCAGGGGTGGTGATACTGGGACAGTGCATGTCCATCCTTTCTTGCACAGGGGCCAGGGGCCAACATGTGTCAAGCCAGGGAGGACCAAGAGTAGAGTGAGTGAGTGTGTGTGTGTGTGTATGTGTGTGTGTGTGTGTGTATGAGAGAGAGAGAGAGAGAGAGAGAGAGAGAGAGAGAGAGAGAGAGAGAGATATATGTATGTGTGTGCGCGCGTGCGGGGAAAGAGAGAGAGAGAGAGAGAGAGAGAGAGAGAGAGAGAGAGAGAAAGATATGTATGTGCATGCCAGTGCATGGAAGAAGAAGGCATTGGGTATCCTGCTGTATCACTCTCTGCCTTGTTCCCTTGAGATAGAGTCTCTCATTGAGCCTGGAGCTAGGCTAGTGGCCACCCAGCCCCACAGATGCTGTCACTGTTCCCAACAGCGCTGGGGTTACAAGAATTCACTCAGCTACATCCAACTTTTTATGTGGAGGCTGGGGATCGAACTTGGGTCCTCATGCTTGCCCAGCAAGTACTCTTACCCACTGAGCTCTCTCAGCACCACCACCCCCCCCGAATATATTCTTTTAATTATCAATATTGTGAGACTGAAGGCAATCAGTTTTTCAACCTTTTTCAAAATATGGAGCCTTTTTCCCATGGACACCATTGAACTTATGTATTGATAGTCATTATGTTATATTCACATGATTCAGTGTTCGGAAAGGAAACAGTGCCCATAACAAGCTCTCTTCCATCTCCTCCCCAGCCAGCTGGAAGCAGCTGCCACATGGGGTCACAGCACACTTAGCAAGGATAAGTTTGCTCCGCCTAGGGATCTTTTATTTTTTTAATATTTTATTTATTATTTTTGTGTGTCCATATATATTGCTTGTGTGTAGGTAAGTGCACACAGGTCATGCAATGCCCGTGGAGGACAGAAGAGGCTGTTGGATCCTCTGGAACTGGAGTTACAGACAGTTATTAGCTGCCATGTGGGTGCTGGGATCTGAACCCAGGTCTTCTGCAAGAACAACCAGTATTCTTAACTGCTGAGCCATATCTCTAGCCCTGCTACCTAGGGGTCTTTAGCCACAGGGCATCAACCCTGAATTAGGGGCTGGGAATATGGATTGGTTGGTATAGTGCTTGTCTAGCACATACAAGGCCCTGGGTTCAATCCTCAGCATTGCATACCTATAATCCCAGCATTCAAGAGGTAGAGACAGGAGGATCAGGAGTTCAAGGTTATCATTAGCTACGTAGTAAGTTTGAGACTAGCCTGGGATACATGAGACCCTGTCTTTTTTTTTTTTTGGTCTTTTTGAGATAGGGTCTCCTTGTAGCCCCAGCTGACCTGGAACTCGCTATGTAGACTAGGCTGACCTTGAACTCACAGAGATCCACCTGTCTCTGCCTCCCAAGTGCTGGGATTAAAGGCGTGCACTACCACATCCAGCTAATTTGAATATTTTTTGAAAATGGACAGTGTCCTAAGGGATGACACTCAAGGCTGTCCTCTGGACTCTGCACACACATGTGCACCTGCACACACACACACACACACACACACACACACACACACACACACCACCAATGCTCTCTCCCCACAGCTTGGAGGCTGGAATATCACAGGACCATGGGCCAAAGACAACTTCCAGGACACGCTACAGGTGGTCACAGCCCACTACCGCACCTCACCCTTCTTCTCTGTCTATGTCAGTGCTGACTCCAAGAACTCTAATAGCAATGTGATCCAGGTAAGCTGAGCTAAGGAAGTGGGCATGCAGCACTTGGCAGGGAAGACTGCCCCAGATAGGACTGCAGGCCTCAGTCAAGGTTGTTTCTGGCAGCCCCCAGCGATGAGATGGGATGAGTCAGGAGATGATGAGAAGGCAGTCCATCTTTGGCAGGCGGCTTACTGTGATGAATGATGTCAAATCCTGAGCATGACCGATGACATCTGTTGTTCCCCTACACCAGCCCTTTGAGGCTCTGCTTAGAATAGATTTAAGCCCATTTCCCCTGGCCTGTACCTGCCTTGGGCTGGGATGAGCTTGCCTAGGAGAACTCTAGACTAGGGGGTCATAAAGACCAAGTCCTTGGCCCATTCCTACCATTCATACTGTATGACCTTAGTCTAGTAGCTCAGCCTCCCTGAGCTGTAATTTCTTTATGAACCAATATACTATAAAAGGACCTACCTTTTATATGTCAAGATGTGACCAGAAGGCTCCTGTGGTAGCTCTCTGGAATGTTCTGCTCCCTGCCCAGCTCTCAGGAGGCTTTTTTTTTTTTTTTTTTTTTGTTTTTTTAAGACAGGGTCTCCCTGTAGCCCCAGCTGTCCTGGAACTCACTATGTAGACCAGGCTGGCCTTGAAATCACAGAGATCCACCTGCCTCCCGAGTGCTGGGATTAAAGGCATGCGCCATCATGCCCGGCTCTCAGCAGGGTTTTTCCCACCATTGTCTACATGAGTCCTCATTCTGGTTCTTGGGGGTAGATACTATTTTCCTTATTAACTGGAGGAGAGACCTGAGGATCAGAAAGGTTGGATAACTTGACTGTGATCACACAACTTGGGGTGGCTCTAACCATTTGGGCAATGTTTGGTTAAATGGGATGTTGTGCCTAAGTTGTTTAAAAAGGCTCTGCCCAGCCGTTCAGAAGGACCCCAAGTCCTGTGGCTGATTCTGAATATAGGCAGGAATGTATTTGTCCAATCCTTGTCCTGGGTGGGTGTATTTGTGACAACAGCTACCTGTTCCTCCTCCTGCTGGTTCCTCCAGTGCCACGGGCCAGCCATCTTCAAGGCATGCTGTGGCTGTATAGGGGACCTACACACGGACAACAGGACCTCCCTCTCACCCTCCCTCCCTCTGCAGGTGGACCAGTCTGGCCTTGGCTTACCCTCCAGAGACTATTACCTCAACAAGACGGAAAACGAGAAGGTGAGCCTGCCCAGCCCCACCATGTACCCCCAACCCTCCCCCTCCAACTCCCAGCAGGCCTCAGAAACTGGGCTTTCACATAGGTGCCACTTTACTGAAAGGTGACAGGCAGTCCCAGGCAGGGGAGGGACATCTCCAAACTGGCTGTGTCACAGTCAGGCATCATGGGCACAAGGGGCAGGGAGGGGACAGATGTTATTTAGACCCTTTCTTACAAAGGCAGCAGTGACAGCTGCCACCGGTTGTGGATGCCACGTGTTTTGTAGGCATCATCCCCAGCCCTCCCTACAGCCTGGCAGACATACAATCCAAACTCCACTCACTTGTGTCAAACTGATAGGACTTTGGCCTTGCCTTTTACTCAGGAGATGGCTGAGTGGGCAAAGAAGCCTGCTTCACAAGCCTGACAACCTGAGTTCAATCTCCAGGACCCACATAAAGGTGGAAGGGGATAACTGACTCCATAAAGTTGTCTTCTGACCTCCATGTGCACACCATGGCACACATGCACCCTCCAGAACGCATCATATGCACACACACAATAATAATAAAAATAAAGTTGAAAAGATCAGGAGGCCATCCCCAGGATGAGTACTGAGAGGGGGGTCCAGAGCAGTGGGGCTAGCCCACCTAGAGCTCTGGGAAGCACAGAGGCACTTGGGCTTAATCCTGAGGGCTATGGGGAGCCAGTGGACAGTCACAATGCCAAAATCATCCTCAAAGCTCTGTTTCAGAAGCTGAGTTTGGCAGTACATGCCTGTAATCACAGCATTTGGGTTACTGAGACAAGAGGACTGCTGTGTTTCAGGCCAGCCTTAGCTGTAGAATGAGACCTTGTCTCAAAAAAAGAAAAGCAGGGGCTAGAGAGATGACTCAGCAGTTAAGAGCACTGGCTACTCTTGCAGAGGACCCAGGTTCAATTCCTAGCACCTGGCAGCTAACAACCATCCGTAACTCCAGTTCCAGGGGATCCAGTGCCTTCTTCCCTCCTCCATGGGCATTACACGACACGGGTGCACTCACTTACATACATGCAGGCTATACACTCATACACATAAAAATAATGAATAAAATATTTTTTAAAAATGAAAAACGGGCTGGAGAGATAGTTCAGCAGTTAAGAACACTGGCTATTCTTGCAAAAGACCGAGGTTCGAATCCCAGCACCCACATGGCAGCTAACAACTGTCTGTAACTACAGTTCCATGGGGATCCAATAGCCTCTTCTGTCCTCCACGGGCATTGCACGACACAGGTGCACTTACCTATACGCAGGCAATACACGCATACACATAAAATAAAAATAAATAAAATATTTTTTAAAAAAAGCAAAACAAAAATGTGCTTTTTCTGGGTGAAGCAAGTATCCCCTTGGCCCTCTGTTCTGGGCTGCAGTCTGTCCTTCCTTCCCCTAGCCCAGGTGGCAGCCGCTAAGAGTTTGGGGGTGCTGGGTTCCACAGGTGCTGACTGGATACCTGAACTACATGGTCCAGCTGGGAAAGCTGCTGGGCGGTGGGGACGAGGACTCCATCAGGCCCCAGATGCAGCAGATCCTCGACTTCGAGACAGCACTGGCCAACATCACCATACCCCAGGAGAAGCGGCGGGATGAGGAACTCATCTACCACAAAGTCACAGCCGCTGAGCTGCAGGTGACTTGAGCACCCAGCCATGCAGGGGTTGGGCCAGCCACTGGCCTCAGTTGTGGCTCTGGGAGGGTGTGCTTCACACCCACCTTGACAGATCTTTGAAGTGACCTGGTAAAGGGAGGGCATTTGATGTGCCCAGGTTACAGATGGAAACATTGAGGCTTGCAGAGGGACTGTTCCCTACCAAAGGCCACATGGGTGGTAAGGAATGCTAAAGCTAGGCTGCTTTCTGATACAGTGTTTCCATAGAGACTGTGGTGGTGACAGTAATAGAACTCTTGGGTGGAATATTTGCATTCTCTCGTATACCGAGTGCCACAAACATAGTGACAGAGCACTACAGAAACGAGCTGTAGTTTTTCATTTTTCCCTTTCTCTTACAAAACAAAGTTTCTTTCTTTTTTTTTTTTTCTTGGACTCACAGAAATCTGCCTCCTTCTGCTGGGATTAAAGGAGTGTACCATCACACCCAGGCTTTTCTTTTTTTTTTTTTTTTTAAGATAGGGTCTTATGTATCACAGGCAGTTTTAAACTCACTAGGTAGCCAAGGATAACTGTGAACTTTTGATCCTCCTGCCTCTCTACCTGTAAATTCTGGGATTACAAGTGTGCATCCTGTGCCAGAATTTTTTAATGTGATGCTGGGAATGGAACCCAGAGCTCTGTGTACACTAGACAAGCCCTCTGGCCAGCTGAGCTCCACCCCCAGCTGAGCTACACCCCCCTAGCCCTGCTTTTCCTTTTTCTGAGCCAGGGGGCCACTAGACATGATTAAGGGCAGAGGAGCTGGCCCAGGACTCAGGCTTGGGTATCTAGAGCTCTGCTCTTGATGTGGCTCTTGACCAACACACTCCGGGAGTTGTAACTGAGAGTTGGCCCTGCATTTTGACTCCTCTGACCCCTGTGCTAGAGGCCTGCTGTCTCCCTGTCACAGGCTGCCCCCTGGTGGCCACTGAGTCCTTGATGGTGCCTACCTGATTGCTGGCTGGTTCCTCCTTTCCAGAATATCTGCTGTCCAGCCTTGTCCTAGGCCCCAAAAAGAGAGACGCCACTACCAGTAATGCCTGAGGCTTTGCTCTTTCCCTGGGCCTCTCCCTTCTGCCCAGACAGCTTCTATCTGTCTGTCCCTTTTTCTTTCAAAAGAAACACCTCACACCTCATTTCCATCCTGGTTTCCTCCTCCACCCAACAGGTAACCACATGGGCTTACTCTCCTATGCTTCCTAGCCAGCTGGCCCACCAGTGAACAGTCTGGATCTCTCTTACCACAGAAGGGGTTTGGGGAAGAGAAGCAGGGCCCCTATCTCAGGCAGAAAAGCTATAAAGACTTTAGTCCAGTGGTAGGTACACTTAAGCCAGGCCACGAGGTGTCCCAGGAGGAGCTGCGGCCTACACAGGCCTCCTGCTGCTGCCAGCTGCCTGCACATCCTGGCGGAAGTCATCTGAGTGGGTTGTTATGGAGATGGGTAGCCCATGTCGGGCACTATCTAGCACTGTTTTCCACTCCGAGGTCAGGAGGTTGAGGGACATGCTGTTTGTACTGTGTAATTCAGTTTGCTCCAGCTTTGCAGATCTCAACCTGAGAGATCTTGTACAAGGTGGCCTTATGGTGGCCACATGCTGACATGGATGCCCAGAGTGATAGAGGGCACAGTAGCCCTGCAAACACCAGCCAGTAGCTACCAGTCTGACCCCAGCCCCCTTCCCCCTTGCTTTTTGCCTTCTTCTTCCAAGGAAGAAAGGAAAGTGGTTCCACCTGCCCTGCTGCCCCCTGCCCTGGTGGGAGGGTTTCTGCAGCTGCAGCAGCCTGTGAGGTGCCGGCCTGGGCTTGGAGTCAAAACATACCACTGCCCTGCTCCATCTCAACCTGGGTGACTTGGGACAGGTCACATGACACAACCTTGAGTCTTGTTCTCCTTCCTGGTAAAATAGCACATGGCTCCTTCATTCATCCCTGTTCCTGGCCAGAACACAGAGGTGAATATGACCCAGCCCTCATCCTCACAAGAGAGAGTGGTTTGCCACATTAACTCACAGGGTCTTAGGAGAACATCTACTGTGGAATGTCAGCCAGGAGAAGTGGACAAATATGCCAGTGTAAGATACCGTGTCTAACCAGTAAGGAAGTTCTGGACCCCAAGAGGCTGGCATAAGCCGCTCTAACCTGGCCACAGGTGTGTGATGAGGCAAAGATAAGCTGACATGCATGATAGATGTGCAACATCTTACTGTAATCATTATGCTAATGGTGGTTCTTTCCTGATTGTTGGTGCCTCCCGGGTCCCCAGGACTGAACTAATTAGAATCACTCTATCCCAGCACAAGGTGTCTTCTCTGATAACTGAGGATCTATTTTCTTCCTACCCATACTCTGAGTGAAAAGGCACCAGCAGATTCACAGTGTGGTTCCAGGCTAGCCCTGCTGTAGTGCCAAGTAGTTCCAGGCTAGCCCCCAGTGGAGTCTGAATTCAAAGCCATTAATGAGACCTCCAGCCCTGGCTTCTCTAGGCACCTTCCCACTCCTTTGTAGGACTTTCCATGCAAAGGTCACCTGCTTTCTCCATCTAGATGGGGTCTGAGAGCATCAGCTTCTTTCTCTTCATTCCCATTTTGTTTCCAGTGTTGGGACTTGAACCTGGAGCCATACACAGGCTTAGCAACTGCTCTACCACTGAGCTATATCCTAGCCTTTATTGTTTTTTTAAGATTTATTTATATTTTTAAAATTACGCATATATGTGTGTGTCTCTGTGTGATTTGTGCATGTCTGTGCAAGTGCCCAGAGTCCAGAAGAGGGTGTTGTATATCCTGGAGCTGGAGTTGTAGTTGGTTGTGAGCTGCCTAACATGGGTGTTGGGAATTGAACTCAGGTCCTCTGTGAAAGAGTATGTGTTTTGCTGAGCCGTCTCTTCAGCCCTGTTTTCATTTTTGTTTTTAGATTCCTTAAAAATATTTTATTTATTGCCGGGCGTGGTGGTGTGCACCTTTAATCCCAGCACTTGGGAGGCAGAGGCAGGCAGATCTTTGTGAGTTCAAGGCCAGCCTGGTCTACATAGTGAGTTCCAGGACAGCTGGGGCTACAGGGAGACCTTGTCTCAAAAAGACAAAAAAAAAATTTATTTATTATTTTTATTTTATGTGTATGAGTGTTATACCTGCATGTGGGTAAGTGCAATGCCTGCTGAGGACAGAAGAGGCTATCAGATCCCCTGGAACTGAAGTTACAGATAGTTGTTACAGATAGTTGTTAGCTGCCATGTGGGTGCTGATATTCAAACCCAGGTCTTCTGCAAGAACAACCAGTGTTCCTAATCGCTGAGCCATCTCTCCAGCCCTAGATTTATTTTTCATTATGTGTATGTGTGTATCTGTGTGTGGATATGTGCATGTGAATACAGATGCCTACAGAGGCCAGAGGTATCAGATCCCCTAGAGCTAGAGTTACAAGCAGTTGTGAGCTGCCCAGTATGGGTCCTGGGAACTGAATTTGGATTCACTGCAAGAACAATATGTACTCTTAATTGCTGAATCATCTCACTAGCCCCATTTTTAAAATATACAATATTTTGCCAGGTGTGGTGGCGCACGCCTTTAATCCCAGCACTTGGGAGGCAGAGGCAGACAGATCTTTGTGAGTTCGAGGCCAGCCTGGTCTACATAGTAAGTTCCAGGACAGCTGGGGCTACAAGGAGACCCTATCTCAAAAAAGACAAAAAAAAAATACAATATTTTAAGAGCTGGGCATGGTGGTGCATGCCTGTAATCCCAGCACTTGGGAGGCAGAAGCAGGCAGATCTCTGTAAGTCTGAGGCCAGCCGGTCTCCATAGTGAATCCAGGACAGCTGGGACTACAGGGAGACCCTGTCTCAAAAAGACCAAAAAGAAATTAACAAGTCCAATTTGTGCTGCCCATATACTCAGGTGTAGACCCATCCACTGGAGCATGGCCACCCCCAGGGGTCACACTCTTAGGGAAAACTAACTCTCCTCCACCTGCAGCCATCAACTGTCATAACTCTTCAGCATGGGTGGGGCTTTTGAGACCCTTCCCACTCCATGTTGGAATATTAACTGGCTTAAGCTTGTGCAGGTCTTGTGCAGGCAACCACAGCTGCTGTGAGCTCATGAGTGCATTGTTTCTATCATGTCCAGAAGATACTGTTCCTCCCTGATCCTTCTGGAACTCTGGCCTATTATCTTTCCACTCCCTTCTTGGAATTGACTGCTCTCTGATTGTATTTAAGGCCCTCTCCACCAGAGGAAACATTTGCCTGATACGTAAATCTGGCCAAGAACCCATGACTGGGGAATTCACAGGCCCTAGGGGTGAACCTGATACTGTTATTCTGCTAATAGATGTAGCATCAAACTGCCCTCTAAATTCCTATCTCTCTACCCAAGATTAGTTCAACTCTCAGATTTCATCATAAAAATTTCTTTGTACAGTGGATGGCGGTTAACACAGAAACTCACAAGTACTCAAAGTACAGAGAGTGTCTATGGAGTGCTCAGCCACAAATGAGACAACTATCACACCCTCAGCCTTAGCCCAGGCTGGCCACGAACTCATGATCCTCCCACCTCTACCTCCCCAAGACCAGCACCACACTGTTCTTTCCCACTTCCCAAGCCTCTTTGAGTTGGTTGGTTGGTGCCCAGTGTGGTTCCTTGGCGTCAGATGTGGAAAATAGAGTCGTCAGTGTCCCCAGAGGGATTGAGTCACAGTGGAATGTCCCAGTTGATTAAAACAGCCGTCTCCATGGAGATGTGTTTAAGTTGGGAATCACTAAAGCAATAGAGGTTGGGAACGCAAAAATCCCATTTTTCAACACACAGGGCTTTCCTGCACAGCACCTGCTCTCCCTAAAGGATCAGAGTTGTTTGGAATCCATGGATTTCACCATGGACACCTCTCTCAGAGAGTTCCAATGACGTGCAGTTCTCACTAACATGTGAGCTGTCACATTTGTCTTTGCAAGCAGATCCTGCAGTCAGGTGGCTCTAATGGCTGAGCCCTATTTGAAGATCTCACAAGCTCACCTCCAAATTTCTTATCCACCAAGATGCAAAAGATCTGCCAAGAAGAGGGCAAGGAAGACACGTGACGGGGCAAGGATGCTTGGTACAGGGCGAGCCTTTTCCAGAGGCACCCAGCAGGCAGCTCTGGGTTGGGGGATTGTCTCTGTGTCAGAGAAGGGATGGGAATTGACTTTGTGTCCCAGGCTGGTTCCTGCTGGGGATCCTGATTAGGTTTGCTCAATCCCAGCTCCTGGCTCTCTTGCTGCCAGGCAGCAGAGAGGTGCTTTGGCCTCGGTACACGGGCGCCCGACCCACTGTATTTCTTCAGTGTCCAGTGTGGTACAGTTAGTCTTAGTGGGAATACTCCTCACTGTAAATGGTACAAATCAAACCCTCACTGAGAGCTGATTAGAGACTTTTATAGGATAATGTTGTCTTTAGGAGCTGTGTACACTCCCTCAGTCTCACACCTGTCCTTCAAGGTCTCTGTTCTGCAATAGATGAGATGCTCTTTTAAACCCAGAAGCAGGGTGTGGTGGTACACGCCTTTAATCCCAGCACTCAGGAGGCAGAGGCAGGTGAATCTCTGAGTCCAAGGCCAGTGAGACCATCTCAGAAAACACAACCCAAAAGCAGTGTCCTAGGGGTGTCGCCCATATGCTTAGCATGTGTGAGGCCCAGAGTTCAATCTCCAATACCAACAACTGAATAAACCCAGAGGTGAGTAAACCTGTGTTGTAGATCTGCACAGGCTCCTGTTGACATGCGGCCTCAGGAAAGTCACCTTTCCCAGGTACAAATTCAGCCCGTTAAGTCTGAATTTGGACCTGGTTGGTCTTAGGACCCACCTCCACTCGCCTCAGCCTCCTAGGTATTTACTGCCAAGTTGTAGACTGCTGTCTTAGAGACTGGCCATGGCATTGATTGATTGAAGTAGGAAGGGCTTTTACAGTGCAGGCCTCATTTTCTTTGTCTGACATTTTACCCCTTTTCAAGGCAACAGAAAACAGAATTTGAAATTTGGCAGGGCCAGGGCCACCTCTGAGAAACCTTGAACAGTGATTGGAGTGACTGGCACTGATGGATTGCTTTGCTAAGGGCCAGGTGCCCATCAGAGTGATCGCCACAGACAGGCATCTTTGCTAAAACACAGTCTCTGTAGCCCTGAAAGACCTTGAGTTCTATAAAGTTACACACTAAAAATAACAGACCATGTGGGGAACACAGGGCTGGGGCAGATCATTCCAAAGTTGTGCAACTGTGCTGGGGTATGTCTTGCTAAGTGAAATCAGCTAGCCACAAAAGAACTGGAGTGGGGGTGGGAGAGCCTAGAGGATGTGGCTTAGTGGCAGAGCACTGGCCTAGGATATGCAAAACCTGGGTTCAATCCCAAACACTAGAAGAGGGAAAAAAGAACAAAGATTGTGTGTCTTGCTTATCTGAGGTTCCAGGAGCAGTGAAATTAGTAGAGAAAACAGAGTGCGTGGATTCTACAGGTGGGGACTTGGGAAGCTGAGGGTAAAGTTTCTTCAGCCTGCTGAGATGGCATCTGTGGCTAGACAGGGTGATGCGGGTACAACACTGTGAAAGGCTAATTCTGCTCAGTTGGACTTGGAAATGGCTTGAGATGAGCCTCATATGGTGGTGCTCACATGAAGACCTTTGGAGGCAGAGGCAGGAGGATTATCACAAGTTTAAGGTCACCTGGTCTAGATAGGGATACCCTGTCTCAAAAAACAAACAAGCCAGGCGTGGTGGCACACGCCTTTGATCCCAGCACTCAGGAGGCAGAGGCAGGCGGGACACCCTGTCTCAAAAAGACCAAAAAAAAAACAAAAACAAAAAAACCTGAAGAAACAAAAAACATTAAGAGATGATACAGGGCTGCAAGAAGGCCCAATGGGTAAAAGTGCTTGCCTGCAAGGCTGATGACGTAAGTTTGGTCCCCATATCTAGTGACGCCTTCTGGCTTCTGTGGTACTGCACACATTTGGTGCACGTGCACAGGCAAAATGCTCATATACCTGGAGGAAAGAAAGAACTCCCTCACGTTATCCTCTGACCTCAACACATGTTCTATGGCATGTGTATGTGCATACATACATAAAAGTAAATAAAGTAATTTTAAAATGGGGGCAATTGCCTTCGAGTTCTCAGAGGACCAGCGAGGACCAGTTAAAATAATGTATGTGAATCTTTTCCAGTGCACATGCCAGGCCCAAGAGCCCTGGTGGATTGTGATAGCCACATCTGTCTTCCCTAATTCCATCCCAGTTTCACTTCAAGTGAAGTTCTTGTTGTTTTTGAGAAGGGGTCCAGGCTGACCCTGAACACTGCCCCTTCCTTTGCAGACCTTGGCACCTGCCATCAACTGGCTACCCTTTCTCAACACCATCTTCTACCCTGTGGAGATCAATGAATCCGAGCCCATTGTGATCTATGACAAGGAATACCTGGAGCAGGTGTCCACCCTTATCAACAACACAGACAAATGGTAAGGGGACATGGCGGCCTGGGGCAGGCTTTTTGAAGGCAGCCCTGTGCTCAGGCAGGGTAGGTATGGATAGAGTAACAGACTGCCTCAGGTTCAAATCCTACCTCCTCTTCTGACAGCTTTGGAGCCTTGGGAAAGTGTCATCTCCTTCCCCAGGGTCCCTCTCTCATCCCCAAAATGAGGCTGTAGAGAGACTAAAGTGAACACAGAACCTGACGCATATTGAGACCTAATCAATGTTAGCTCCTAGTTTTAGTTAATACATAGGATCTTTTCTAAATTCTAAAGACACAGAAATGTTGAAAACTATAGAAAAATAAGGGAAAAAATTGGAGTCAGAGAGAGAATATTCCATCAAGTATAAATATGGCCTTTTTAACCTTCCCCTTACTGACTGTTTAGGTTCAATGAACATCCTTGCACTAAGGTGACTTCTTCACAAACATGGCAGCAATCACAGACAGGCTCCCTGTGCCGCAGGAGTGGCCAAAAGGAGCCACCATTTATGGAAACTTAGGCCTAGCTGGCCATGCCCCCCCGTCTCGTGGAGATGGAGTAACTGAGCAATAATATTTATTGAGTACCAGCGTTTGGCTGCATTAGACATTTCTAGTTTAGCTTTCTGTTGCTCTGATAAAATACTAACCAAAACCAACTTGGAGAGGAAAGGGTATATTTCATCTTACAATAGAACCCTTCATCAAGGGAAGCCAGCATAGGAACTGGGAGGCAGGAACTGAAGCAGACACTGTGGAGGAACGCTGCTTACTGGCTTGCTCAACTAGCTTTCTTACACAGCCCAGGACCACCTGCCCAGGGAATAGGACAACCCATAGTGGGCTGGGCCCTCCTACATCAATTAGCAATCAAGAAAATGCCCCCACAGACATGCCACAGGCGCCCTGGTGTGATGGAAGCAATTCCTCAATTGTGGAAGAGTTTATGTGCTTAGAGAGAGGTAACCAGCCACATGGGCAAGCTTAAGAGTCTGGCTGAGAAGTTGGGTTTTGGTGCCCCCTAGAGGTCTGTGGGGGAAGTGCCACCCAGGGCATCTCAGCTCTCCCTGGTCCCTCACCACAGCCTGCTCAACAACTACATGATGTGGAACCTGGTACGGAAAACAAGCTCCTTCCTTGATCAGCGTTTTCAGGATGCTGATGAGAAGTTCATGGAGGTCATGTACGGAACCAAGAAGGTGAGCCCATTCCCGCTCCTGTCCATACATGGGCTGAGCACCACCAACCAGACCCCTAGACTGGGCACTAGGGAGACCATCATACTGGTAAGACCATGGCTCAGAAAGGTAAAGGGACCCTTCCAGATCTGGTGGCCACACTAACCAGATACTCACAGATGTTTGCTGCTAGTAACAATCCTAAAAACCAAAGACAGGGAACCCGGGAGATGATGATCTGTGTTCAATTCCTGGAACCCACTTAAAAAAACAGATGCAGTGACATACATCTGTAATCCCAACACTCCTATGGTGAAAGGGGAGGCAAAGATGGGAGAGTCAGCCAGAAACTCGGGGGCCAGGTAGCCTGGTATACAGAGCACAGCAGCAGAAATAAGACCCTGTATCAAGGCAAAAGGAGAAAACCCTACTCCTGAAAGTTGTCCTCTAACCTCCACACATGTACACTCATACACACATACACACACACGGTTTTTTAAATATTACTTTAATTTTTTAATTTATTTTTATTTTATGTTTGAGTGTTTTGCCTCCATGTGTGTAAGTGCACCTGTCACATGCAAAGCCCAGAAGAAGGCAGCAGATCCCCTGGAACTGGAATTACAGACAGTGGTTAGCTACCATATGAGTGCTAGGAATTAAACCTGGGTCCTCTGGAACAGCGGCCAGCGCTGTTTTCTTCTGAGTCGTTTCTCCAGCCCCTAAAAATTATTTTAAAATAAATAAATAAAATAAATATAGCACACCTGGAGATTGACCTGCTTCAGGTTAGGATTTACATCACTAGGTCCCACTTCCCCAGATGAGGAAAATGAGGCTCAGTCAGGAGAAGGAACTTGTTCCCAGTCGTTCAGCTCCCTCCTCTCAGGCTGGCTGCACTTGCCAGGTTCTGCTCTGCAGGAAGAGAAGGAGTGGAACCAGCTTCCTTGTGACTGACAAGAGCTGAGTGGCAGGGCATGAGGACTTCCTGTTTCATGAGGATAGGTTCAGATGTGCAAAACGAAAAGTTTGGAAATTGATAGCACAACAAATGAACATACTTAACCGTGCTGGGAAGAATAGCCAAGATGGGGCATGGTGGCCTGAAATCCCAGCACATAGGAGGTGGGAGCCAGAAGATCAGGAATTCATCCTTGACTACATGGCAAGATCAAGGCCAGCTAAGACTACATAGTGGCTCTGCCTCATAAAAGAAAACAGGGGGGCTGGAGAGATGGCGCAGCGGTTAAGAGCACTGACTGCTCTTGCAGAGGACCCAGGTTTCATTCCCAGCACCCACATGGCAGCCGAGAACCATCCTTAATTCCAGTTCCAGGGGAATCTGATGCACTCTTCTGGCCTCCGCGGCATTGCACAACACAGGTGCACTCACATGTATGAAGGCAATACACTCGTACACATAAAATAAAAATAATAAATATATTTTAAAAAAAAGAAAACAGGAAGAACGTGTGCTTGATTCAGCTGTCATAGCCTGGATCCTCCTTGGAGCCTCTGTAGACTCTGTTGGGAGCACTAAGTACTTTAAAGGAGACCAGAATGTTCCTCCAGTCCTTCTTTCTTGCCTTAAAAAATGTTTGAGATTGTAATTTATATAAAATGAGATATAAATGAGTTAGGGGAGATGACTCAACGGGTACAAGAGTTGACTTGGTAAGCATGAGGGCCTGAGTTCAAATCCTCAGAACCCACATGAAACCTGCATGCATGTAGTAGTGCATGTGTCTGTAATCCATTGCTCCCACAGGGAGAGAGTAAGTAGAGATAGAGTCCCAGAAGCTCACGGGCCAGCCTGGTGTCCACCATAACGAACAGCACAGAGATCCTGCCTCATACAAGGAGGAAGGCAGCCAGGCTTGGTGGCGCATGCCTTTAGTCCCAGCACTTGGGAGGCAGAGGGAGGCAGATCTCTGTAAATTCAAGTCCAGCCTGGTCTACATAGTGAGTTCCAGGTCAGCTGGGGCTAGAAGGAAATCTTGTCTCAAAAAGATTAAAAACAAAAAATTAAACTGCAAAAGATATGTAGTGTGCTCTAAGTAAACAAGTCAGTGACTTCTGACAAATGAAATCTCCCAGGTAAGCCCCGTTCCACTCAAGATAGAGGATGTTCCCAGACTATTTACCCACTGTCCTCTGAGGAGAAAGTTCCCACCCAGGCCCCTGCCTGCTGCCCCAAGGTCCCTGAGCGGTGCAGCGGAACTCTGTGCCTAGCTTTCATGCTCAGCGTAAACGTGTGTGGCAGATCTCTGGCAGTCTGTTCCTGTTTGTACCGAGTTGTACTCCACCGTAGGAAAACACCACATTTTGATTAGCCATTTGTCTCCAGTGGGCCTTTGGGTTGGGAGCAGTCTGGGGCTGGTATGAGGCAGGCTGACTTGAGTGTTGGGGTTCTCTGGAGGGAAAAGGACCCTGCCACAGGAGTTATTACGTGAGGGCTCTCGTGTGCTTGCCCTGTCCACAAGGGCTGCCCGGCAGGGGCAGGTGGGGCTGGAGCTTCTGAGAGCTCCAGTCCCTCCTCCAGGCTGCAGCACCTTGTTTCCAAGTGCAGCACTGACATCCTGGACACTTGTGACACCATAGAAGCAGCGGTGCAGGGACTCCTGCTGTGGCCGGGGTGGTCTTTTTCTAGAAGGCTGCAGGTGAGCTGTGGTCCTGGCCCTCTGGGAAGGTTTCCTATTGCTCAGGTAGAAGTTCCCTGCCACTAAGAATCCTCAGATCCTCTGGAAGACAAGAGGGGGAAAGGACTAAGGCAAGAGGCTTGGAGTTATTGGTCACATCTGACTTTCCACCCCAGCTGCACCTCTTACCTGCCCTCACCTGCTCCAGGACCCTGGAGGGACATTTTGTCTTGTTTTGGTTTTCTTTTTAGATGTGGTGTTTTGTTTTGTTTTGTTTTGTTTTAAGACATGGTCTCATGTAGCCCAGGCTGGCCTTGAACTTGCTATGTAGCCGAAAAAGATGACCTTGAATTCCTGCCTATACCTCTTCAGTGCTAGGGTTACAGGTGTGTACCATCAAGCCTAGTTTCATTTGGTGCTGGGTGGCAAACCTAGTGCCTCATACATGTTCAGCAAGCACTATGCCAACTGAGCTATATCCCAAGCCTTTTTATGTGACTAGAGAGAAGGAGGGAGGGAAGGAGGGAAAGAGAGTTCTCTCTCTGTCTCTGTCTCTCTCTCTCTCCTTTCTCTCCCCCTCAACATGATCTCACTGTGTAGCCCAGGCTGGCCTAGAACTCACAGAGATCCACCTGCCTCTGCCTCCCCAATGCTAGGATTAAAGATGTGTACCACCACACCTGGCTCAAGGGTCTTAATCTTTCGCCCAAGCTGGGTCCAAACTTAGGGTCATCAACTCAGGACCGTCATGGCTAGCTTTTTTTTTCCTTCAGTGCTGGGGATTTAACCGAGGGCCTCATACATGCTATGCAAGCACTCTATTACTGATCTCTTGCCCCAGACTGTTGACTTGACCCAAAGCCTAAAGTAACTACCACTGTGTCAGGAAAGAGAGGTCCTGAGGTTCCGAGGGGAATACAGTTCCCACTTCCCAGACAGAAGGGGGCTGGGAGGAGGAGGACTGGGTCCCTTGACACCCACACTTGTGTTTTCCAGACCTGCCTCCCTCGATGGAAGTTTTGTGTGAGTGACACAGAAAACAACCTGGGCTTTGCTTTGGGGCCCATGTTTGTCAAAGCGACCTTCGCCGAGGACAGCAAAAGCATAGTAAGTGCCTCCTGTGTATGTGAGTGCCTGCGATCAAACCCAGGGCTTCACGGATGCTTCAAGCACTCCACCGACTTGTTACTGCCTTTTTAGTAGTATTATGATTGCACAGGTAGTACCTACAGTGGATGATTAGCAAACAGACTCAAGTCGGAGTCGAGATCTCACGGCCTCCTTCACTTCCACCACCGTTGCTGTTACATAACTCTGTCTTCTTCTCTAGAATCTTCCACCTTCTGCCCATGACATAGTCACCCTCCACAGCTGCTGTTTGTCTCCAGAGTGAGCACAGTCTTTCTGTAACTGCTCCTCAGAATGGAGTTCTGTAGATTTCTAAGGTCATTCCGTTAAAAAGGAATTCTTGCTCCAGTCAGTCTAGGAGAGGCTGTATATTCTAGCCTTTTCTGAAAGAATCTCAATGCACAAGTCTACATTAAAGACCAAAAAGTCCTGCAACAGAGACTTACCAACTTCCCCAAAGTTTGTCTCCTATTTGACCGAGTCTTGTTTGTGGGAAGCCAGTCTTGTCTTGCAGGATGCTGTCAGGAGAGTGGGTAGGAAACACAGCTGTGGCTCCTTAGCCCAGCACCAAGGAGCCTGGGGCTTTGAGCCACACCCGAGTTCAGTCATTGGCCTGCAGCACCCTTCTGCACAGGGCACCTGTTGCATTGAAGGAGGCCAGAGCCCAGACCTTACTGTGTCTATGTCCTAAGGCCAGTGAGATAATCCTGGAGATCAAGAAGGCATTTGAAGAGGGCCTGAACACCCTGAAGTGGATGGATGAAGATACCCGGAAATCGGCCAAGGAGAAGGCAAGCTGCCAGGGACTTCAGAGGGCACTGGGCTTCATGGGGAAGGGGGAGGTGGGTGACAGATGCTGGGTCTGTCCAGTGAGCATGTGCAGATGCTGTCTTGCCCTGTGAGTCTAGCAGGATGCAGGGCCTCCTGAATCATGATGTCAGGAAGATGGCATGATGTTATCATGGCAGAAGGGGAAGAGCAAGGGAACATGCATACCCAAGGGCCTAGACTGACCCATTCTTCAGAACCCACTTCCATGATGAACAACTCTTCCCTCTGTAACCAGCCCATTCCTGTGGACTTCATGCATGAGGACCATGGAAATCTGTGTGACCTAATCCCCTGTCAGCACTGCTGTGATAAAGTCAGTTGCCAGCATGTAGACTTTGGGGGACATACTTAGACCATAAAAACTCCTCCTGGGGAGGTGACAGTTAAGCAGAATTTACTAGCTTTATTCCAGGAAAAGACATAGAAGCCCAAAGAAGGAAGGAAACTGGCCTTGGTTCTCCTTAGCCCAGAGCCTAAGCCAGGAACCCACAGACCTGGGGCAGGCCTGTCCTGTATCTCTGGGCTCTCTTTTACTCCATCCCTCCCATCCAGGCTGATGCCATCTACAACATGATAGGCTACCCCAACTTCATCATGGACCCCAAGGAGCTGGACAAAGTGTTCAATGATGTAAGTGGCTTCTACCTACCCTTAAACTTCCTTCTCACACGGGAAGGGGCCAGAGTGAGGCTGGGTCCAGTTTGGATGCTGGAGGTAGCATGACTCTCAGGATGTCTCAAAGTGATATGGGGTGGTATTTAAGGATATAGGAATGAGGAAGACTTTCCCTGTTCCTTTGTGTCGTGGGTCAGTCAGTGGATGTCAGTGAGTATCCTGGGTCATCAACCAGTGCTCAGTAGTTATTACCAGAACACACGCTGTGTGCCACACCGGAAATGGTCAGCTCCAGTGAGGAGGTAGAAAATACTAGAGTGACTGGGGCAGAGAATTATGCCTCAGTGGTAGAGCACATGCTTGGCATGCACAAGGCCCCAGCACCACAGAACAGAAAAGAATGGGATTGCTGGACATGTCTTTAATCCTGGCACTCCAAAGGCTGGAGCAGGAAGAGTGGGAGTTCAAGGCCATCTTTGGCTACAAAGGAAGTTTGCAAGGCCAGCCTGGGCTCAAGGTACCCTGTCTCGAAAAAAAAAAAAAAAAATGAAGGAGTGGTGGGGACTGAAGAGATAACTCAGATGCACTGGATGCTCTTACAGGGGACCAGAGTTCAATTCCCAGCACCTACGTGGTGGCTAATAACCATCTATAACTCCAGTTCTAGAGGATCTGACACCCTCTTTTGACCTCCGTGGGCACTTCACGACATGGGTGCACTTACATACATGCAAGCAATACACTCATACACATAAAATAAAAATAATAAATGAAACATTTTAAGAAAAGAAGGAAGGAGGGATTGGAAAGATGATTCAGCGGTTAAGCACGCTACTGACTGCTCTTTCGAAAGACCCAAGCTTGTTTCCCAGCACCCACATTGGGCAGCTCACAGCCACCTGTAACTTCAGCCTTAGGTGATCCAACATCCACTGCTGGTCTCCATAGTCAGACACAGAACACACATATACATAAATAATAAAAATAAATTAGAAAACAATGAAGTAAACAAATTTTCAAAGGTACAAGGAGAATTAGTGGCCCTAAAACATCCCTGGGGGAACACAACATGGAGCCCCTCTCATTAGCTGCTGCTGTTTGAAGACCTGTCTCCTGTCTCCAGCCTCCTTCCCTACCTCCTTACAGAAACTTGGACTTCTGACTTTAACCTTGAAATGTTAATAGGAAAGAAGAAGCATAAATACCAAATGAATTTTTATTTTTAGGCAGCAAGGTTGTAATTGTTATGTCCCAGCTACCCAGAATGTCTAACAAATCACACCTCTAAATGGACTGTGGCCCTGACCCAAATAATAAAGTTTTATATGTTCTCATGATAGGAATTTGTCAGTTCAGGCACTTTAAAAATTATAACAGATGGGGCTGGAGAGTTGGCTCAGCAGTTAAGAGCACTGGCTGCTCTTGCAGAGGACCCAGGTTCAATTTCCAGCACCCATGTGGTAGCTAACAACTATCTGTAACTCCGGTTCCAGGAGAATCCAATGCCCTCTTCTGACTCCGAGGGCATTGTATGGCATAGGTTCACTTATACACATAAAATAAAATAATAAATAAAATATTTTTAATTATAACAGACCTACTTTATGGTTATATTTAAAACCTGAAACTTAAAATTAACTCAGGCTGTGAGACTCCATCTGCAACCCAGTTCCTTGAGAATTATTTAAGGTGCTTCAGGGTGTTGGGATATAAGATTCAAGGGTTTCCGAGAGGTGGCTCAGTGGTTAAGAGCTCTGACTACTCTTGCAGAGGACCAGGATTCAGTTCCCAGCACCCACATAGTGACTAACAACCATCCCTAACTCCAGTTCCAGGAAATCTGATTCTGTTTTCTGACCTCCACAAGCACTGCAGACATGTAGTATACTTATATACATGCAGGCAAAACATTCATACACATAAAATAAAATTTTTAAAAAGATTCAGGGTTCTTGGAGGCCTCCAAGTATACCCCCGAAGGATCACCATCCTTCTCTGGGGACCAGTGTCTAACAACCTTCTCCCACAGCCAGAAGGATCTGGAATGTATCTAAGGGAAGCAGAAAAGCCATGTTGGGAGGTAAGGGACATGTGGTGATGCTGATCCCCTGACATTTCCCAGGTAGATTGTAGATTCAGGCATTAGGTCTGTACTGTCCAACTACGGGTTAATTAATTTAACTAAATTTAACTAAGTTGAAATTGATTATTTTATTTATTTATTTATTTATTTATTTATTTAGAGACAGGGATTATTTTATTTATTTATTTAGAGACAATCCAGACAGGCTTTGAACTTGCTGTGGAGCAGAGGATGACCTTGAACTTCTGATGCTGCTTCCTCTACTTCCTGGGTACTGAGATTACAGGAGTGTACCACCATGCCCCGTTTATGGGTGCTGGGGATTGAACCCAGGGTTTTGTGCTTGCTAAGCAAGCACTTTAGCAGCTGAACTACAATTAACTTCAATTTTAGGGACTGGAGAGACAGCTCAGTGGTTAAAAGCACGGGCTGCTCTTGTGAAGGACTGGGGTTCAGTTCCCAGTACCCACATGGCGTAACCCACAAACCGTAACTCCAGTTCTAGGGGATCTGATGCTCTCTTCTGGCCGCCACTGGTATTGTATGCATGTGGTGCACCTAACATGCAGGCAGAATACTCATACATGTAAAATAAAAATAAATCCAAAAAATTTAGTTCTAAAAGCTGCACAGGCGTGTTCAAAGTGCTTGATATCAAACAGTGCTTGATAAACATCCGCCTAGGACAGGTACAGGGTATGTCTATCAATACTGAACACATTTCTTGCCTAGGTGCTCTTAGTATCTTTGAAGGGGAGAGTCAAGGCTAAGGGAAGACCTGAGCCTGCAGCCCTGAGCCCTCCATTCCAGTCTCTGGCCTGCAGAGATTTGTGGGGCCCCAGTTTCCTTGGTTCTAGAAGGTTCCAGGCTGAGCATGCCCTGCTTTGATACTGTAACTTTACTTTACCTTCCCAGTACACCGCAGTTCCAGACCTCTACTTTGAGAACGCCATGCGCTTTTTCAACTTCTCATGGAGGGTCACAGCTGACCAGCTCAGGAAAGCCCCCAACAGAGATCAGTGAGTCCCCTGAAACCTGGCCTCCCTACACACTGGAAGACCTGGGGTGACCCGGGGTGGAATAGAGCTTGGCTTTATCACTTGCTTACCGTGAACCAGATACTGCTGTCATGAGCACCCGCCTAGGAGTGGAGACAGTGGTTCTCCCACTTTTCAGATGAAGAGACCAAAGGCCAAAGTGGGGCCCAGCGCTGCCGACTTAGCATTCAGAGCCTGCTTCTTACTGCCTGCCGTGGGAAAGAAGCTGGCTCTTGGATCATTGTGACAATAAAATGTGAGGACTGGGGAGAGGCAGGCCCCAAGGGTTCTCCTCAATTCCTCAAGAACAAGAGTGGTGGTTTCTCCTCAGGGGCCTGAAGAAGGGTCTGGGTGGGCCCTAACAGCTACAGCTGCTAAACTGTATTGCACCATAGTAGCAGCAGCATCTGGGGAAATTTTTTTGGAAATACCATCATCTCCTGGGCCAGGATGTGGCTCGGTGGTTCAGTGCTTGCCTAGCATGTGCAGAGAAGCCCAAAGCTTCTTAAACCAGAAAAATCTTGTCTCAGCACTAGGGAACAGAGCCAGGCAAATTTCTGAGTTCTAGGCCAGCCAGGGCTACATAGTGAGACCTTGTCTCTACCACTGAGGTACCCCCAGCCTCTACAGACCTCTTTTGTTTAGAAGTTTCCATAGAAAACCTAGCCACATGTATGGTTAGGAAAAGAAGATTTTAATAGTGTTTTCTAATAGCTGTACACTAGCTGGGTGTGGTGGCACACACCTTTAATTCCAGCACTTGGGAGGCAGAGGCAGGTGGATCTCTGTGAGATTGAGGCCAGCCTGGTCTATATAGTAAGATCTAGGCTAGCTGTGGCTACAGGGAGACCCTGTCTCCAAAAAACCAAAAAAAAAAAAACAAAAAAACCAAAAAAAAACAAAACCTGTGTGTGTATGTCTACATGTGTAGGCCAAAGATCAACACCAGATGTCACTGTACCTTATTTTTTTTCCAGCATATATTTTTACTGAATTTTTGTGCATTTAATACAATATATCTTAATCATATGTAGACCTCTTCCCTTACCTGCACCTCCCAAACCCCCCCACTAGATTTCATGTATTCTGTCATATTTGTTAAGGCCTGTTGAGTCAAGTTCGTACCCCCAGATGTTCCTTGGTGTGAGTTCTTCCACTGAAACCTAGTCAGTCTATATAGTTTCACTCCCCTAAAGAAGACCAACTCTTCCCTCATCCAGTAGTGATCAGCTGCCAGTAGTTCCTTGCCTAAGGCTGGGCCTTCTGCCTATTTCCCCAGTTCTATGCTGGGTTTCTGTCTGGTTCGAACTTGCATGGGTCTTGTGCCCGCTGTCCCCGTTGCTATAGTTCATATAAGAAGCTTCTCAGAAGCCTGAGAAACTGTTTCCTTGTGGTCATCCACCATTCCTGGCTCTGGCTCTTACAGTCTTTCTGCCCCGTCTTCCATAATGGTCCCTGAGCTCTGCGTGGGTCAATTTTAGTATAGGAGTCCCATCCAGAGACATGTGCTCTGCAGTCTCTTATTCTCTACACTCTGGCCATGTGTGGACCTCTGTGTTAAATGCCCTCTGTTGCATGAGGAAGCTTCGCTGGTGAGAGTTGGGAGATATATTAGTATTCTCTCTACCACCTGTTCCAGTATGTTCCATGAGCCTTAGGTATAGAGGTTCCATTGTAGATATGTCACTTAGGGCTGGGCATCTCATAGACACTTATTCTCTGTGTTTGACCAGTTGGGCAACTCTATAATAGTCTCCATCTATTGCAAAAAAAAGAAAAAAGCTCCTTTGATAAGTGATTATAGGTATACTTGTCTGTAAGTATAAGGATCTATATTTAGCATACAGTAAGAAATTATGTTTGTCTATGGATGTGACAGATGTAGTTTTCTTTAGGATCTATGATCTCTCCAGTCATGTGTATTTGGCTATGTTTATAGTACCACACATGAGTTCCCTCCCATTGAGAGGGCTCTAAGTCCAATTAGATAGCTGTTGATTACCCCCTAGATAGACGTGCCACCACTGCACCAATAGGGATAGTTTGTTGTGCCAATCATTGTTGTGGTTATTAGGCTTTAAGGCTGGGGTTAGACCATTTCCTCTCATACTATGAGAGCTCGTCTTTGGGGAGGAGGCTTCCAGGTCAGGTCTAGCTCCATTGCTCCAAGTTGTGTCTGAAGTATGTCCTGACTTCATCAACAGGCTTGTAATATGCCAGTAGCCTGTTATTTGGGGAGTCTTAGAATACCAACAACTCGCTGGGAGGTTTCTGCTGTCTGGCACATGCAGATATTGTGTATGTATTTTTCAGTAGGCTTTTGTCTTTTGTTTTGTTTTTTTGTTTTGGTTTTTTGTTTGTTTGTTCGTTTTTTTGAGACAGGGTCTCCTTGTAGCCCCAGCTGTCCTGGAACTCATTATGTAGATCAGGCTGGCCTTGAACTCACAAAGATCTGCCTGCCTCTGCCTCCCAAGTGCTGGGATTAAAGGTGTGCGGCACCACACCCAGCTCAGAAGACTTTAGAACTAATGCTTTTCCCTCTGGCTTTTCATACCACCTAAGCATTATTCATCTCTCCTCTCTCTCTTCCTGTCTAACCCTTCTTCCTCCCTCCTCACGTAAAGTGCCCCTACTTTCCTCATTCCCCTCTGATATTACTTGTCTTCTATTACCCCCCGCCTTGAGCTCCTTCTTTCCCTTTACCCCCATGGTTCCTTGTATAACCCTCCTTCCTCCCTTCGCAGTTAAATACCATCTTTCCCCCCCATTTCACCCTTGGGAACACCTGTCTCCTACTATCCCACTCTCTCAGATCACCTTACTTTTTGAGACAGAGTCTCTCAGTGAATCTAGAACTCACAATTTTGGCCAGTCTGTCTGGCTAGCAACCCTGTGCCCCCCCTCCCCCTGGGATTCATTTGCCTCCATCCCCAACACTGGATTTGCAAACACACCTTACTACCCCTGGCTTTTACATAGGTTTTGGGGCTCCAAACTCAGGTCCTCGTGTTTGCACAGCAGACACTTTACCCACTGAGCCATCTTCCCAGCCCCACTTGTATATATTCTTCTATTATTACAACAAAACTCAAGTGGTTGTTCTGGGCCTAGTGGCACACGCCTTTAACCTCAGGACTTGGGAGGCAGAGGCAGGCAGATCTCTGTGAGTTTGATGCCAGCCTGATCTACATAGTGAGTTCTGGGCCAGATGGTGCTACAGGAAGACTCTGTCTCAAAAAGACCAAATATTAAATAAAATAAATAAAACTCAAGTGGTCCTTTTGGGATACCTGGGGTCCCTAAAACAGTCTCACTATGTAGCCCTGACTGGCCTGTAACTTGCTATGTACGCCAGGCTAGCCTTAAACACATGGCAATCTTCTTGCCTTTGCTTCTGAGTGCTGGGATTAGAGATGTGTACCACCTGATGCCCAGCTTTTAAGCAGTAGGTTCTTTCTTTCTTTCTTTCTCTTTTTCTTCCCTTTCTCTCTCCTTCTTTTCTCTCTCTTTCCTCTCTCTCTCTCTCTCTCTCTCTCTCTTTCTTTCTTTCGTTCAATAGGGTCTCAATATGTAGCTCTGGCTGACCTGGAACTCACTATGTAGACCTGCCTGCCTCTGCCTTCCCTGGTGCTGGGATTAAAGGCATGCGTCACTATACCTAGCATAATATTTTCTCAAAGGCAAATACAGCAAAGAATCTGAAGCCATATCCATGAACTTTTCAGAACTCACTGGTCCATCTTGTACCATGAACAGACCTTCTTTCACCCAAGGCTGACTTTGTAAGTCATTTAGAAATCAGTGGGTCACTGAGTTTCTAGGTTGTGCAATTTCCAGCTAGACATTCACAAACAGTAACAGCAACTAAAACAACCACCACATTCTTTATTTTTTGATGTTGCTGCTGAACTCATGAGAAAAGTCTTTCAGTCCTGAGAAGCTGCTCCACTGTGATGACTGTAGATGCGGACAGGAGAATCCAGCTGTCTTCTGTTATGTCAGGGTTAAAGAAATCTGCAGAGACTGAGGTATAGCTCAGTGGGAGGGGAAGGCCCTGGGCTCCATCCCCACTATGTCCTCCTGAAAGATTCTTACATCTGGGGCTGGAGAGATGGCTCAGCAGTTAAGAGCACTGACTGCTCTTGCAGAGGACCCAGGTTCAGTTCCCAGCATCTACATGGTGGCTAACAACTGTCCCTAACTCCAGTTCCAGGGATCCCATGCCTTCTTCTGACCTCCTCAGGCATTGCTGGACACAGGTGTACTTACATACATGCAGGCAATACACTTATACACTAAAATAAAAACAATAAAAAATATTTTTTTTAATTTCATTTATAGCCTGGCCTGGTAGTACATGCCTTTAATTCCATCTCTTGGGAGGAAGAGGCAAGTGGATCTCTGTGAGTTCAAGGCCATCCTGGTCCACAGAGTGAGTTCTGGGGCTACAGGGAGACCCTTTCTCAAAAAGACCAAAAAAATTTTTTTTCATTTATGTGTGTGTATATGCATGTGTGCAGGTGCCTGTGGAGGCCAGCAGAGGATGTTGGATCCCCTGGAGTTACAGGCAGTTGTGAGCCACCCACTGTGGATGCTGAGAGCCAAACTCCCATCCTCTGCAAGAGCAGCAAACATCATAAACACTGAAACATCTTTCCAGGCCCCGCCCCCAGATACCTTGAAGCCTCACATTTTCATCACTGATAACAAATGTCCGTTGTTTTCCCTGAGATGATAAATGTCCAGTATCCAAGTTCCAAATTTGATGACTTGTCAAAGTGCAAACCCTGTATCATAGAGAGGGCCGCTGTGCTATGTGGTTGTTTCCCATGGGTCCCACCGAAGGCTGAAGAGACTTTTACTCAGGGGCCTGGGTTAAATGACATTAGTAACTATTTCATTTCTCAAAGATCTTTTTAGAGTGAGGGTGGTCTATTGGTCTGGGGTTGGTTTTGTTTCTTTTTGACTTAGGGTTTTTATTTTTTATTTTGCATGTTTATGTGTGTGTTATGTATGTATGTATGTGGGCATGTGTAGGTGCAGGTACATGTGCACATCTGTGAGTATGGAGGCCAGAGACTGGGTGTCTTTCCCAATCATTTGCCAATTTATATTGAGACAGGGTCTCTTACGTGAACCCAGAGCTCACTGATCCGTCCAGCTAGCCAACTTGCTCCAGGATCCCCATTTTTCCTCCATAGTGCTGGAATTACAGTCAGACCACCATGCCCATCTGACGTGTGGGTGCTGGAATTCTGGTCCTCACACCTGATTAGTGGGTGCTTTGTAATCTCCCCAGTCCCTTTTTTGGTTTTTTTCAAGTAGGATCTCATATAGTCCAGGCTGACCTTGAACTTACTATGCAGCCAAGGATAACTTTGAATTCCTGACCCTCCTACCTCTACATTCTGAGTGCCAGGATGTCAGGTGTGTGCCACCATGCCCAGCTATGTTGTTCTGGTTTGGGGCATAACACCTTCTGGAGAAGACCTCAGTGGCCCCTAGAATGTGTCTGGACTCTGGCTCAGGCCCCCGCTGTTTTGGCCATTGTTGTCTTTACACAGAGTGGCAGAAGCAAATGTCTTCATGTGATTATGAAATAGTTTTGATATTGTAGACTCCTGAAAGGATCTTAGTTGGGACCCACTCCCACCTGCATGTAGACCACACACTTTGAGAACTACTGATGGACACATGTTGAGCCTTGCACATGACTTTTCAAAAGAGAATGAACTTGAGCTCCTGACCCTTCCGCATCCGCCTCTTGAGTGCTGGGATTACAAGCATGCACTACCATGCTCGATTTATACAGTGCTGAGAATTGAACCCAGGGCATTGTGCATGTTAAGCAAGCACTCTACCAACTGAGCTATACTCACAGTCCCTGGAAGCTACATTTTTAAGGCTTTTGACACTGGTCGCGGTCCACCCCTCAGCTCATCTCCCCCCAGCTTCGTCTTAGATTTCACGTGTGCTTGTGGCTTGCAGGTGGAGCATGACCCCACCCATGGTGAATGCTTACTATTCGCCCACTAAGAACGAGATTGTGTTTCCTGCTGGGATCCTGCAGGCGCCGTTCTACACCCGCTCCTCGCCAAAGTAGGTCGCTTCAGTGCTCAACTCTTCCCCCAACTTGAGGAGAACCACAGTCCAACCTGGCCCTGTGCCCACACACCTGACCACTTAGCCAGCTAGTCTCCCTGAGCCAGGTGGCCCAGGTGGCCTGGGATTACGAGAGAGGTTGTGTAGGAAATGGCTTCTTCACCCCCTCCTCTTCCCTCCAGGCCTCTCTTGGCTCTGGACACCCCTGTGTAATGGGATTTGGGGTACATGTCATAGAGTCAAGATTCCTAAATGGAGGAAATATTGCTCTGAACACTATTTTAAATATTTTATTTATTAGTTTATTTTTTTATGTGTATGTGTTTTGCCTGCATGTATGTAAGGTTTTTTTTTATGTGTATGAGTGTTTTGCCTGCATGTATGCACCCTTGTGCATACACTTATATTTTATGTGTATGAGTGTTTTGCGTGCATGTATGCAGCATGTTGTGCAATGCCTGCAAAGAGGGCGTTGGATCCCCTGGAACTGAGTTATGGACAGTTGTTAGCCACCATGTGGATTCTGGGAATCGAACCTGGGTCCTCTGGAGGAGCAACCAGTGCTCTTAACCACTGAGACATCTCTCCCGTCCCTGAACAGTATTTTAAAACAATTAGAGCTGGGAGACCAACAGCATCCCTGTGTCTCAGGCAGGCAGGCTTCAAAACGCATGGTCCTGGGCTTGAATCCCAGGCCTGCTATTGATGACTGTGTGGTACTTAGGCAAAGATGCTGACCTGGCCCCAACCTTAGTTCTTTCATTTGTATAAGGCCCAACTCTGCTGAGTTGACTTAGAGGACACGATGCATGAACCCCAGTTGACACAACTGACCCTGGCAGACTCTGCCCAATCTCCTCCTATCTCCAGGAGACCACCTCCCCACAGAGTGCTGCAGGGCTCTGCTATGCCTTAAGCCTCGAGGTCACATAGCTAGGCTCACTCTCACCTTTGTGTCCCCCCTCCAGCGCCTTGAACTTTGGTGGCATTGGTGTCGTCGTGGGCCACGAGCTGACTCATGCTTTTGATGATCAAGGTACAGGTTCCTTGGGGTCCCATCCAGGCAAAGTCCACTAGCTTTCTGCCCACTTTGCCTCTTTTTCCTGGTCCCTTCACTTCTAAGGGGCTTAGTGCCAGGCACAAGGATCAGGGTTCAAAGCTTGGCTGTGCCACCTTCCAACTGTGTGGCCTTCAGGCAGTCCTACTGTTTCTCTAAGCCTCTGTTTTCTTGTCTATATAATGCATGTAAGGATGCCATGTGATGATTTGGAGGTCTTTGAAGGTTATCACACGAAGCCCCTGCTCATGGAGGGTATTCATACTTGGGAGTAAGCATTAATAATCAGCAGGGAGTATATAGTTCTTCATCATTCTAGAAACTTCTCTGGACTGATCATGGTCAGATGAGTGGCATCCAGGCCCTCCCTAACATCTAACGGCCAGATTGTGTCCTATTGCCTCTTGCTTTGGGGACCTCATAGCCAAGAAGTAAAGGCTGGGGCCTGCCTGTGATCCTGCGTCTGCAGTCTCCGTTGGCCCTGGCCAGGCATCCATTCCTTAGGTCAGCAGCCCTTAGCCAGTATTGAAAGCCAGCCTCAATATTCTGCTCTTGAAAACGCCATCAGTGATGTGGGCCACTTTCCTGTGTGGTCTCTGATGTGATTGGCCAGGCCTCCACTGCATGAATTGGGTCTCTCCCCTCCATGTGGCCTGGAGGGTGGCAGAGTAGCAGCAGGTCCCACTGTGTCACCGCTTTTCCGTCATCCCCAACCCCCTCTGCAGGACGGGAGTATGACAAGGACGGGAACCTCCGGCCCTGGTGGAAGAACTCATCAGTGGAGGCCTTCAAGCTGCAGACCGAGTGCATGGTGGAGCAGTACAGCAACTACAGTGTCAACGGGGAGCCAGTGAACGGTCGGCACACCCTTGGGGAGAACATTGCAGACAACGGGGGCCTCAAAGCAGCCTACCGGGTACGTCTGCTCCCCAGAGGCCCCATGCCAGGGCTCGGTCTGTCCAAGTGCCTCATCAGTGGAGAATCATTACAGCAGCTCCATGCACCTTTTGCCCATCATGGGGTGGAATGACTTGAGTGCTGACTGGAAAGTAAGCAGCTTGGCGCTCAGCCCACAGAAGGCTCCCTACTCAGGGAAGGGCTGGGCTAGGTCCACCTGCAGAGCCTGCCAGTTCTTTCCTGTGTAGGGGAAGTCATACTACATGAGGCAGCAGGGGCCTGGGATCGTGGTAAGGAAGACGTGGCAGCAGATGCAGGAGCTGACTGGTCACATTGCCTCCACAGTGAGCAAACAGGAAATGGGACTAGGCTATAAAGCCTAAAGGCCTGTCCCCAGTAAACTACTTCCTCCAGTGAGACTCCACTTCCTAAGGATTCCACGACATTCCCAAACAGCACTACCATCTAGATGCCAAGTGTCCAAACACATGAGTCTTTGGGGAATATTTCACATTCAAACCACAACAGGGACTCTGAGCAGGGCTCTGGTTCTCAGTTCAAGTCCTGGAGTAAGACACTGACTAGAACCTTTTTGCATGGCTGTGAATGCCTAGCACCTGCACTGGGCTGTTGGGACAGCAGACCCAGGTAACTCAGACCCACACTAGAGAGGGACTCAAAGACATCAGCTGAGTTAGATGGAAGAGAAAACGGGCCAAGAGAAAGTATGTGGCACAAGGTAGTGTATAAGTTCTTCCTAGCAGGGACAGTAAGAGTGGAAATAATGAAAGGCACTGTTTATGTGGCGTGCTGTGTACAGGCTTGGGCTGTTTATATGGTGTGCTGTGTGCAGGATTGAACTTTTATATGGCATGCTATGTGCAGTCTTGGGGTCCCCAGCAAGTTCCCAGCTGGGTGTTAGCACCCCCATTTTGCAGACACTGGAACTGGGTTGAGAAATATTCCATCACTGACCTAACTCCATCAGTAAGGAGCTGTGTATTAAGAATCTTCTACATACTCCGTGCTGTGCTTTAACACTAGAGAGCATGGCAGACAGGTGGGTGCTGCTCCTATGGCACCTGTGACATGAACAGAGACGAAGGACAGGCAGGAGGAACCTAACTGCAAAAGGGAGAGTATGTCTGCTCTGATAGAGCAGAATTAAATAGGGCCATTGGTGGATAGGGGGTTAAGGGTCCAGGGCTGGCCTTCTGGAGGGAATGACATTTGGACCTACCAAAGGTGTCCAGCCTTTTGATACTGTAATATGATGCTCTCATCTATAAAGTTCATGCTTAAGAACTGCATGATCGATCTTCTGAAAAAATATCAGGAGCTGGGCATGGTAGTGCATGTCCTTAATCCCAGCAGAGGCAGAGGCAGAGGCAGGTGGATCTCTGTGAGTTGGAAGCCAGCCTAGTCCACATTAGTGAGTTCCATGCCAGCCAGGGCTACATAGTGAGATCCTGTCTCAGAAAGAACAGGGGCTAAGGATGTTGCTCAAAAAAGAGTTCTGGTCTTTAGGCCTGAGTACCTTGGGGAGGGTGCCATTGACTGGTGGGAAAGCCTGGTGCACTTGTGGGGGGGGTATATGACAGAGAGAGAGAGAGAGAGAGAGAGAGAGAACTACTATTTATACCATTTTTAAGTTTGAGATGCATCTTGGCTGTCCAGCATGAGTGGTTGAACACACATCTGGACAGAGGCTGGATTGAAAGCACATTTGATGACCGGCAGCATTGAACTGGCCATTTAGGCCATAGGGTTGAACATCCCTTTCTGAATGAGAACAAAGAAGGAAGCTGAGGCCCAAGCACTCACCTGTGCTCCCTAGTAGGGCTTCCCCGATCCTCCACAGTGGTCCCTCCCCTCCTCTTACAGCCCCTAAGCTCTGCTTTTCTCTCCTCACAGGCTTACCAGAACTGGGTGAAGAAAAATGGGCCTGAGCATACGCTGCCCACTCTGGGTCTCACCAACAACCAGCTCTTCTTTCTGGGATTTGCACAGGTGAGTTGGTTAGGAGAGAAGGCCAAATGTGGGTGCGTTAAGTCATGGGGAAGATGCAGGATACCCAGGCCTAGTTCCCCCATTCGCCACCCTCCTAAATCAGTGCACTGTCTTTGGGATGTTTCCCTGGAAGGAGGTGAGATTCAAGGGATGCCCCAGAATACTAATGCAAGGGTCTTGGGGCTGAGGATGCAGCCCAGTTATAGAATGCTTGCCTGGCCTGCACAAAGTCCTGAGTTCCATCCCTATCACCACTTAAACTGTAAAACGTTTAGTGGCTCACAGCTGAAACCCCAGCATTGGGAGGTACAGGCAGAAGGATCAAAAGTTCAAGGTCAGTCCTTGAACCTTTAACCCCAGCACTAGAAAGGCAGAGGTGGGCAGAGCTCTGTGAGATTGAGGCCAGGCTGGGCTATCCAGCGAGTTCCAGGCCAGCCTGGGCTAAGACCCCTGTCTTGAAAAAAACAAACAAATAAAAACAGATCCTAAATCATGGAGATCAGAGAGCAAAACCATCCAAAATCCCTGTTAAGTCTAGGGTTCTAGAAGTTTCTTTTTTAAAATATTTTATTTATTATTTTTATTTTATGTGTATAAGTGTATTGCCTGCATGTATATAAGTGCACCCATGTTGTGAAATGCCCACAGAGGTCAGAAGAGGGCGTGGGATCGCCTGGAACTAGAGTTATGAACAGTTGTTAGCCACTATGTCGGTGCTTGGAATTGAACCCACGTCCTCTGCAAGAATAGCCAGTGCTCTTAACCACTCACTGGTCTACCTCTCCAGCCCCTAGAAGTTTCTTAAACTTAAGAGATACCAGGTTGTCCCTTGAGTTGGTGTCCAGCCAGTAGCCTTCTGTTGGTGCCCAGAGTTACCAGGCAGTTAACTAGAGTGTCCTGCCCAGGAAAGGGGAGTGAGTTCTGGACTAAATCTGAGTTGTTGAAGTGATGTTTGGCAGTCTCCCCTGTTTAGTTGAAGCCAGCCCACTGCAGATGTGTCAGAGATGCTGTTCTGGCTGGAGGAGCACAGGGCAGAAATGCCTGGCAAAGGAGCATTCTCCCCTGCCTCCGTCTTCCTCACCTGCAGGCACTCCTGACTCCCTGGGACCCAGGCTCATTATGCCCCTGTCATGATGGGGCCACTCTGTCAGACTCAGGCTCCCACAGTGACCCTAGCTTCCCTCCCTTACCCCTTCAAAGGTCTGGTGCTCCGTCCGCACACCAGAGAGTTCCCACGAAGGCCTCATCACAGACCCCCACAGTCCCTCCCGCTTCCGGGTCATTGGCTCCCTCTCCAACTCCAAGGAGTTCTCAGAACACTTCCGCTGCCCGCCTGGCTCCCCCATGAACCCTCATCACAAATGTGAAGTCTGGTAAGGGTTGAAGCACAGAGAGCAGAGATGGAGGAGGGAAAGGAGCTGAGACCCAGCCCCTGGCAGGGCTGTGGAGTCGCCCCTCCTTCCAGCCCCTCGGCCACCTAGGGCCCCTTCCCTACCCTGAAGGGTCTGTAGCCATCCTGTCCCAGCCTGTGATGGAAGTTCTCAACTGAACCCAAGATTTGACAACCCTGCGAAGCCCTGGTGTCCCAGGCTCCCGTGTGTAATGCTAGCGAACGTTTAGGTGTCGGGCTGGTGGCTTACCATGCCTGGGCCTCATACCTACAAGGGCAATGGGACACAGCCCCTGGCCCACATCCAATGCCAGATATACCACAATACCACTGTGTCAAATGCTTTAAAGATATATTTTTGGGGAAACTATTTTTTAAACATTATGGAATACACTGGAAATCTTCAGGGAAAAAATGCATTTAAAACACTTTTTTTTTTAAGGGAAAGATTGGTATATTTATTATGTTCTGTTTTTCTAAATAACCTGTGGACAAAGGAAACCCAGTAATTTACCCCAGGGGACTCCAGGCCACTGAGCACATCCCCCACATTGATAGCTACCTTAGTCCATAGGGTATGCGATTGTTTCTGCAGTCTCCTACACAGACAGGAGATGTAGGGACCAAGCAGAGGGAGAAGCCAGCCAAGGGGCACAGCTCATGGGCACAGCCCCTCTCAGCTTACCTGTCCTGTCTCCATGGGAGCCCCAGCAAGGAAGGGCTGATGCCAAAAGTAGATGGCTGTGACAGCATGAGGCCAGAGTAGGACCCTCCATATAACCTGGGGGTACCTGAGTACTCTGGGCTAGACCATAGAAGCCCCACGGGGCTGGGACCTCCTCTACCCTCTATCAGATTCACTGCTGTCCAAAGATGGCCTCTTTTAGCCCCATCTCTTCTGGCCATCCATGCCTACCCTTGGGACCTGTGGCCTCTTTGTAGCAATCCCTACATCCCAAAGTATTCTACCTTGCTGACCCTCTTTACCGGGGGAAAGAAAAAGAGAAAGCAGCCCACATCCTCCCTCCAAGCTCTGCAGCCCATAGCTGGTTCCCAGGACCGGTTCTCTAGTGCCTTACCTGAGGCTGTGGCCCCTGGGCTCCACTGAGGAGGCAGCCCCTGCCTGAGGCCCTTGGTCTCCTCGGTGGAATCCTCAAGTATCCTGACTGGAAGCCAAGGCCATAGCCCTATCCCCAGGGTCCCCAGGGCTACCCATCCCAACCAGCCTACAGGGCAGTCATTCCAGGGTCAGGAACTGCTGACCTTTCTCAGGCCTCCAGCCACCTGTGGCACTTAAGTTGAATCAAACCAAGGTGGAGAGACTCCTCTCCTTCAGGGTGCTGTGAGCCAGGGGGGTTGCTGAGAACAGAAGTTTCCCCAGCCCCTTCTAGGGTACAGGAATGTCATCCCCCTCCCTGAAGCCAGTGTCATCCAACAGCAGGTGAATGTGTTTGTGCCAGGTGGCACTCAAGTGATCCTTGTGATTCTCCTGTAGGGAGGCAAGCCCCCGTTATGAGGAGAGGGCAGCCAAGCAGTGCCCACCACAGCCCCTGGCAAGCCCTGCCCCACATTGCACACCCCTCCCCCCGGAAGCCAAAGTCTCCTCACCCAAGAAAGCACAGACAAGGTAGTCTTGATCCAGACAGCTTAGAGTCAACCTTAGAGCTGGGGCAAGGGGTTGGGAGCGGGCTCTAGATGTTGTCCCTGGTCCCTGTAAGGAAGTCTGGTAGCTCTTCAGGGTAAAGATAAGGCAAGAATCAGGGAAGGAGCCAGAACCATGCCCTGCCTCATAGAGGTGGACCTTCCAGGCCTGGGTCCTTACTGTCACCTGTACCCCACCCTGCTGCCTCCCTATGGAGGTGTGGTCCTGGAAAGGGTGAACACCAAGAGCCAGAAGCAGGGGTCCTGGGCTGGGGCTCAGCCCCAGGAAGGTAGACTACACTCATCATCAGGGTATAGGGGCAGGAGAGAAGGGAACCCAGATCCAACAGGGATGGATGTGTGCAAAGGCACCCCACCCTGAGATTCAAGAAAAACAGAAGTGAATGGGGCAGCTGTCCTCAGAGAGACCCCCCCTTTTAAGTTTGGGAGCTTCCCTGCGGGTACAAGGACTTGAGGTTTGGAATTTGGGAGTCTATTTTTTGTATTGTTATGTTTTGTGCTACTCCGTGTAGTTTTGGTGTTTCACTATTGTAATTAAAATAAAGTACTTGTACCAAAAGCCATGTGTCTGAGTATCCATCCTTCCAGGATGATATTTGTCCTGTGGGGCCATGGGGAAACCCTGGTGAGCACAGAGCTGCTCACCCTTGCCTCAGCAGGGTATATTGTACCTCTCTCCAGCACAGAAGTCTTAGAGCGAGACAAATGCCAGGTCAGGTTACTGCTGGCTCTGCCCACCTGGCCACTCTTCTTCACAGAGATGCTTGAGCGCCTCCTGCTGGTGAGAATGATTCACCACCCCTTTCTCTCTCTCTCTCTCTCTCTCTCTCTCTCTCTCTCTCTCTCACTCACACACACACACACACAAACACACACACACACACACACACATTATAAAAGTTGTGTTTCCATTGTTTTAAAGCAAAGAACTTTCCAGTCTCAGATGCTTGGACAAGGCAGGCATCCCCAAGGTAGGGGAAATTCAAAGAGTTTCAAGAAAGAGGTACCAGCCAGGCATGATAGCAACAGGCCTTTAATCCCAGCACTTGGGAGGCACAGGCAGGCAAATTTCCTTGAGATCAAGACCAGCCTGGTCTACAAATCAAGTTCAGTGCCAGCCAGGGCTACATGGAGAACTTGTCTCAAAAAATTTTTTTGAATAAAAATATTCTAAAATTAAGCCAGGCGTGGTGGCTCACGTCTTTAGTCCTAGCACTCAAGAGGCAGAGGCAGGTGGAGTTCAAGGCCAGCTTGGTCTACATAGTGAGTTTCAGGCCAGCTGGGGCTACAGAGAGACCCTGTCTCAAAAAGACCAAAAACAAAAACAAATTCTCAAAATAAATACTAATTTTAAAAAAGAAAGAAAAAAGAAGAAACACCATTTTTATGTTCTTCTCTCTGTCTAGAATGTTCTCCCTTGACTTCTCCGCCTCGTAAACTTCTGCCCATCCTTTGAGGCCTCACTTGATGTCAACTCCTCTAGGAAGCCCTTCTCTTCCAAGCCACGTAGTCTTTCCTTTCCTACTAGAGTGTGATAGTTTGCCAAGCTACTGTAACAAATACCACAAACTTGATGGCTAACACAGCAGAAATGCATTGTCTTGTAGTTCTGGAGACTAAAAGTTGAAGATATTGCCAGGGTTGGCTTCCTGAGGGTGGCAGGCAAGAGTGTTCTCTGGGCCTCCCTCTCTCCTGGCTGCTGGTGGCCTGCTGGCAACTTTGGTGCTGATCAGCTTATGGAAGAGTCACCCCATCTCTGCCTTCATCTTCACATGGCCCTCTCCCCTTGTGCCTGTCTGTCTGTGCCCAAATTTCCCTGTTTTATAAGGACACTGGTTGTCATAGTTAGCTCCAAGGATCAACTTGACATAAACCTAAAGTCACCTGGGAAGAGGGAACCTTAGCTGAGGAATTTCCTCCATCAGATTGGCCTATGGCCTTGTCTGTGAGACATTTTCTTAATTACTAATTGATGTAGGAAGGCACTGCCACCCCTGAGCAGGTGAGCCTGGGCTATAGAACAATGCTAGCTAAGGTCGGGTGAGGTGGTGGATACCTTCAGTTCCAGCACTCGGGAGGTGGAGGCAGGCAGATCTCTTGTGAGTTTGAGGCCAGCCTGGTCTACATAGAGTTCCAAGCCAGCCGGAACTACATTGTGAGATGATCCTGCCTATAAAAACATTAAGAGCCGGGTGTGGTGGTGCAGGCCTTTGATCCCAGCACTCGGGAGGCAGAGGCAGGCAGATCTCTGTGAGTTCAAGGCCAGCCTGGTCTACATAGTGAATTCCAGGACAGCTGGGGCTACAGGGAGACCCTATCTCAAAAAGACCCCCCCCCCAAAATTAAAATGCTAGCTGAGCATGATGAGCCAGGGAGCAAGCTAATAAGCAGCTTTCCTCCACCGACTCTGCTTCAATTCCTGCCTCCAGGTTCCTTCCTTGGCTTCCCTCAATGGTGGACTATAACCCATAAGCCAAAATAAACCCTTTCCTCTGCCAAGTGACTTTTGGTCAGAGTTTTATCAAAGCAACAGAGAAGCAAACCAGAACCTGGATTAGGACCCACCCTAAAGCTCTCGTTATATCTGCAGCAATCCTATTTTCAAATAAATAAGGAACTGGAAGGTTCACCACCAACAGTGAACTTCCAAAGCAGAGGTCCTGGCTCTCTAGGTTATAAGGACACTATACCAGCTCCAGTAGCTAGTGCCAGGCACATAGCAAGAGGCCCAGTGACTGGCGATCAGGTGCTCGACAGATGGGAGGATACTGGATAGACAGAGCCATAAGCAGTCTGTTTTGTGCATGTGCATGTATCTACACATGTGTGGAAGTCAGAGATGACATGGTGTACCTTTTTTCAGTCACTCTCCACTTTAAGTTTTGTTTGGTTGTGGATTTTTGAGACAGAGTCTCACTATGTACCCTAGCTGGAGCTCACTATGTAGACAAGGCTGACCCAGATCTCACAGAGATCCACCTACCTCAGCTGGGATTAAAGGCATGTGCCCCATGCTCCACCTTATTTCAGTTTTTATTTTTAATTATGCGTGTATGTCTCTGTTTGGGGGGTGCGGTGTGGTTATGTGCACATGAGTCTAGTGACTGCAGAGGCCAGAAGAGGGTGTTGGATTCCCTGGAGCTAGAATTACAGGAAGATGTGAGCTGCCCTGTGTGGGTGTTGGGATCTAAACCTGGGTTACTTAGAAGTTTTTAATTAAGTGTTCCTAACTGCTAAGCCCCTCACCATCTTATTTTTTGAGAAAGTTCACTCACTGAACTTGGCGTTCACTGATTGAGCTCCACTGGCTGGCCAGCAGGCACCTGGGATCCTCCTGTCTCTGCCTCCCCGGCACTGAGGTTATAGGTATATGCTGTCAAACACAGCTTTTTATGTGGGTGCTGAGGACTCAAGCTCAGGTCCTCATGCTTGTGCAAGAAGCACTTTACTGACTAAGGCATCGCCCCAACCTTCAGTACTTTGTGTTTGAAGGGATCATCCTGAACGAGAGCGATAATGAGCTCGGTGGTCCAGAGTGACCAGAGAAGACTTCCTGGAGAGGAGGAATTTTAAATGTGCTTTGACCAAATGGAAGGATTGAGAGTCCCATCCCACCATGACAAAGATAGCCTATGCAAGCTTGGGTTCGAGGGCCAGGTCTCGCCTAGACTGCTCCAGCCTTGGGTTTCTTTTCCTTTTTTTCTTTTTTTGGTCTTTTTTCCCTGTAGCCCCAGCTGGCCTGGAACTCGCTATGTAAACCAGGCTGGCCTCGAACTCACAGAGATCCGCCTGCCTCTGCCTCCTGAGTGCTGGGATTAAGGCATGTGCCACCAGGCCCAGCCTGTTCTAGCCTTGTTTTTAAATGAGTAAGTCAAGTCAGAAGAGCTGTCTGTTTACAAATTGAGTCCCTCCACCTCACCTGTTCCCGCTGTCCTCACATAAGTACCCTATGGGATCTGCATATACAAACCTCTCCTCTGTCTCTCTCATTACCAGTGTTGGGAACGGAACCCAGAGCCTCATCCATAATAGCCAACACCCTACCACTGAGCAACTCCACACCCCTCAAGCCTCTTCCTGCACCTTAAACTGACAGAGTCCTCTCCTGCTGTGGCTCTGGGTCCTGCCTGTCTTTCAGCTTGGACTGTTTTCTACACACACACACACACACACACACACACACACACACACCACATACACCTTGCCAATGAGAACAGATAGAGGATTCTGGTCAGGCTTTCCAGGGACTCATGCATGCCTGTGTGAGTCGGGCTGCACTGTCGGCTTTACCTGAGGCCTCTCTTGCTCACAGCACCTTTCCTCCATAGATAGTTTCCCAGGCCTGTTCCCTAGCTAAGGAATCATCTGGGACCACAAGGCTGATAGAAGCAGTGATGGCCCCAGGGATGCCATGCACACACATCTATGCACACACCTTTGCACACATGCATATGCACACATGCATACACACACAGGACAGAAGTGCTAGCTGCTGCCCACCCCTTTCCCAGTAAAGCACAGATGACTATGTCCTATCAAATTCCCACTGTATCCCCAACTTGCAGACACCAGCCTCCTAACAGACCCTTTTTCCAGCAACCAAGAGATTGGGTAGCTTCCTGGTCCCAGCCCTGGGTCCTCAACCCCAATCTCTCCCCTCTTCTTCGTTAATAATACAGCCTCCCCTTTCAGCAGTGCCCCTCCCCCAACACAGGGCTTGAGCTCCCTGCCTGGCTTTACCCTCCAGCTGATGGAGACAGCGCAAGCCGTAAATTGGGAACAACTGGAAAATGTAAGCAACTTGAAATAATTAACTGCAGAAGCAAAAGAGCCAGAAGAGGCTGAGCCATCTCTCCAGCTAGGAGAGAGAGAGAGAGAGAGAGAGAGAGAGAGAGAGAGAGAGAGAGAGAGAGAGAGGGAGAGGGAGGGAGAGAGAGGAGAGAGAGAAGAGAGAGACTAAGCTGACCCCAAACTTACTATGTAGTTAAGGATTACCTTGAACATTTTGGGGGGGGTTGAGACAGGGTCCCCCTGTAGCCCCAACTGACCTGGAACTTGCTATGTAGACTGTGCTGGCCTTGATTTCACAGAGATTGACCTGCCTCTGCCTCCCAAGTGCTGGGATTAAAGGTGTGTGCCACCATACAAGGTGATTGAACTTTTTTTGAATGAATGTTTTGTCTGCGTGCATATAAGTGAACCCATGCATGCAGTGCCTGCAGAGGTCAGAAGAGGGCGTCAGATCCCCATGGAACTGGAGATTTATGATACAGATGGTTGTTAGCCACCATGTGGGAACTGGGAACTGAACCTGGGTCCTCTGCAAGAACAGCCAGTGCTGCTGAGCCATCTCTGCAGCCCCAGCCTTGAGCTTCTGATCCTCCTGCCTCCATCTTCTGAGTGCTGGCATTCCCCACTCTAATATCTGATCTAAAGAGGAAAGAGAAGAGAGTTGTTCAGGGACACTGAAGCTCCTCTCAGAGAGTGTCATCTTGGTGTTGAAAGGTGCATCCTGTGACCCTCTCTGGTGAGTAAGTGTGCCTTTCATGACATCCACTC